AACCACAGTAATATATCGATACATGCTAGTTTCCCCAAACATTCAGCTTTCATATGCATATATTGGATTCATTCTTTGTATTATAGTTTTGGAGAAAATCAATGAAATGTGAAAACACTGCTTTTTCAAGCATTTTTCAATTTTGAACGCGAATTACTGTCAAACGGATTAAAGCACAGTAATATATGTAATTTGTTGAAATGTTAAGGATTGTTTATTTTTTACATGTTCAAATTTGTAATCGATTTACTAGAAAATGAAGCATATTACATTGAATGCACTTTCTACATGTATTAATTACTCATCTTTAATCTACTTATTTACATGTATAAATATTTCAATCAATTATGAACATATTTGGTTATATATAAAGACGTTCATTCTTAATTGGAATTGAGAAGGACGAGTTTCGATTAGTGGAACAAGTTCGTATTCCTTTTAAACCTCAATTCTCTCATTTTTTTTTTATTCTGTTTTACAATTTAACAATTTTATTTCGAAGAGAAAATGATGGATCTCTCGCATGTTACACATCGGTGCGAAGAGAAAGAAGGTCGCTTTACATCAAAATTAAAACCGAGAGGATCTGCCAAGAAGGCCGTGGATCCATTAAATAAAAAAAAAAAAAAAAAGAAAACACAATATTTATAAGCACTTTTTATCTTTTTTATTTTAAAGATTTACGTAAGGAACGATTCGTGTAAGCATTAATAATGTGGTGGATGCTCGAGAAATGTTCTTGGCTTTGACGCAAGATAAACGCGACCTCGAAAAAAAAATTTATTAATAAAAAAAAAAGTAAGATTTAAAGTAAAAGACGGTTGCCGATCGCAGACGGCTTGACGCCCCCGAAATCGAAAATAGTGTAAGAGAAAAGGAGAGAAGAGAAGAAACTAATGGAAACAATCCGTCACTTTGCGGCTGAAATGTTTATAAATAAAGCTTTCGCAAAGCGTAACGTAAAATAAAACAACTTATGTATACTTGTGTGTATATTATATACATGCAAATATCTAAATATAACATTTATAATCCAAGTTGAGGAATAGAATGTAAGGAAAGAATCGTACAAAAAAAAAGCAGATGGAAAATCTTGCCA